GAAGCAGAAACAGTTTTTGCTTCGGGGCTCTGACATCGGAACACAACTCCTCAGTGCTCAGTTTCGGTGAGTCAAGGGACAAAGATATATTTTCTGCATTCAATTTTGGTCCCTGCTTCAATAGAACCAACCACTGGGAGGCGGTATCGGAGAAGAGCTCTCCCAGCAGCGTGGTGCCTGTCCTGAGGGAGGACTGAGGAGAAGCCTCCCCTGTTGACCCAGGGCTCCTGGTGGGCCAGGAGAACTAGACAGAGTCCAGCGCCGACCCGGAGGAAGTCAACGGAGCATGTGGATCGTCACTGTTGAACAGCTGGGATGGACAGACCAGGAAGCTAGAACCAGTCGCTGATGGTTTTGGGGCTATAAAACCATATACCCGAAGGACAACCCTCTCTGTTCGCACTGCACCAGGCAGGCCTAGCTTAACAGTCGTGCAACACAGCAGAGGGCTAGCGATGTGTGTGTGTGTGTGTGTGTGTGTGTGTGTGTGTGTGTGTGTGTGTGCGCGTGTGCGTGTGCGTGCGCACATCAGGGGCCAGTGTCCGAGAGGAAGAGACTGACCCTGCAGCCTCTCGGCCTGGCTGAACAGAAGAGGACAGGCATGGATCTCTGAGGACAGACCGGAGTGTTCCTCAGCCACCCTGCTTGCTCCAAACACATCAGACCGCCATGGACTGCAAAAACACCACAGGACAACCTGAAGAAACAAACATAACGAATGTTGAGATTCAAAGAGACTATTGAGAAAGTGTGCTTTGGCAGGAGGAGAGAGAAATATTGTTTTTGTCTATTTCTTTACTTGGGCATTTCGTTGTTTCTGAGGAAGTGACTTGAAACACTACAGAGCCAATATTAGTTTAATGGAAAAAAACAAAAGAAAAATGAAAAAAAGTTGTATTCCGTAAATGATGTACAGTTTTTATATTCGTTAACCAATGTATTCTTGCTGCCTTCTAGATAATTTATTTTGCCACACATTACTGCACAGTTGTAAATAACCTATGTACTGTAATATCACTCAGTTAAGTGTAAAGAAAAAACATAAAAGAAATAAAAATTATCTTTTTATGTACAGTTCACTTTTGGGCAGCACCCCCTCCCCCTCTCATATCCATGGGCCAAAATGTGTACACTGTTCTGTCAGTATTTGAAAGACTCCAGTGCACACTTGTATGATCCCATCTCTAGGTTCAGCCCAGGCTTTGGTAACTCACCTGGGCGTGGATCTCCACAACTCACAAATAGCTGACAGAGAACACCTCTGGATTTAAACCGGCCTCCCACTGGCCAACCACCACATAGTCCCTCAGATGTAGCAGAATAGTTGTTGAGGATTTATTTAAAGAATAGAGAGAGGAATATTATTCATTGCTTTACTACACAATTATATCTGAAAAATTTCGAACCAAGAAAATGCCTTGTTCAGTGAAAAAAAACAAATGTACTCATTGTTGGGCAAAGTCACAGATATATACGAGTGGGATGAAAGTGAGAGAGATGTCATTCACGGGCAAAACCATCATGTTAATGTAGAATGGTTTCAAATTCATTTTCCTTGTTTTTAATTTACAAATATTGGGCTGAACTCATTTCTAATCATCACAAAACAACATTGTCTCTAAAACCAACAGGACGCAGGTTTTTCATTGTAGGTACTGTTCTCCCAGCTTGTTCAGCTTTTCACGTCAAATAGACTGAAGAGTTGTGAAAGCCACCGAACGGTTCCATTCTTTACGGACTTTTAACATCCGTCTTCCACTTTGTCCAAATTAGTGAGCAGCTTATTTTTTTTTAATTGCTGTTCCAACTTTCCCCACTGAATGGCACTAGTGTGTCAGAAAACTCGAGAACCTATTTGGCTTTGCATCAGACCTGTGGCCTTTTACTTGAATGAGTGTTTTTAAATATCCCCTTATAAGGATTCTTATGCAACACTTGCATCAGTTTGGTAGTCAATTCAAATATAATAGGCCCAAGCTTTCAGCCCCAGTCACAGTAGACTTCTAATTTTTATCCATGTTTAATTTACAAGGGGTTTGGCTAGTGTTGTCAGGGATTTTAAATGTTCGGTTCCTTTGTCACGTGACTCTGTTTGGGTGGTGGTATTTGCCATAAGCACGTTCTTGTTTCAGTCCCAAGCAGACCAGTTACAATAATTAAATCTCCTTCGAATGAACCAAAAGCTGGACAGACAGTAACACAAACAGTGGAGGGGAAAGAAATTGCTCACTGCTGAATAGATCTGGGGTTTTTTTGTCCTCAATTTAAAAAAAAAAAAAATAAATAAATTTAAAAAAAATATCCCATTCATAATGTTGATTTGTGATGACTTGTATTGATTCTCTATTATTATTATTTCCCACGCCGACACACAGACTGTCCTGTCTGTGTGAGAGAGCTGCTCCTGTATCCTGATGGCAATATTCTCTGAAACGTTTTAAGTTATTTACACACTGTCGGTCAGCATGGCTGTGTATGGTATGTCTAGTCAAGTGCAATGGTTGTGGAGGCTGTGCAGACAAGGTGGCTAGATGTATAGTCCTGGGTATTTTTGAGAGATACACACATCCTGTTTGGTATAGACTTACATACTTGGATACAAATAGCCAGACATTTGGTTTTTAAACCCCTGTTTGTCATGTTTTCCTTTTGTTTTTAATTAGTTGTTGGTTTCCTACACAGTTTTGGGGGAAAGAGGTTTAAGGGTGTCTTTTGTTCACAGAATCCTTGTGTGTTTTTTAGCTCAGTGTTTGTAGTTTTGACTGTTGTCGTGTTTATCTTCGGGGTTTTTGTTCCTGTATAAAGCATTAACACCAGTGGCATGTCAATCACGTTGCTTATCGAGCAGAATGTATACCGTTACTATGCCCTGACCGACCACGCCCTCTCACTATTGTTTACAAGACATCAAGAGTTTTCCGTTTCACGCGTCACCTTTTTTTTTTTTTTTGTAAACTGTTTAAGCCTTGCCTTTGATTTTACTTCTGTAACAAGTCATTTATTCGACCCACAAAGGATTGAAATGGTGATGGTTGACACGACTGACAGGCAACTTTCTCCCTCAGTCTGCGGTACACCGCTGCACAGAGCAATAGGCTAAACACATCCACCCACTTTGATTCTCCGGTGTGAACATTCAACTCACGAACAGAGTGATTTCTGGAAAAATTGAACGCAGACACAAATGGGCATCGGTCCTCGGACGCATGTAGAGCACTTGGCCGTGGTGATACAGATGCTAGCCTGACACCACCTCAGTCAGCAACATATTACCTCTACTCTCCTCACATTCACTCATAATGTTTATTTTAGATTTATTTGTTTTTCTTACTGGACATGAATATACATAATTGCTATTTTTTCATTCTATAGAATCACGATTTCAAGCCTTTTTTTTCTAGTTTTTGTTTGTTTATTTTTTTAATTAAAACCCAGACTGTAGCTATTTCTTTGTTCCTATTTTTTAGTGGAAAGTGACTAATACAAAGCATGGAGAACTACTCTTTAAATGGTGAGAAACAACCTATTTATTATTTTTTTGTTTCGTTTTTTCTGACACCTGTGGTATGTTTTGAGTTGAAGTTGGTCTCCGCTGTGTAAATTTTCCTCCTTGTAATGCGTGAAAGAGACATACTGTACATAGCTCTGTAAATAAAACCTCCCAGGACGTTTTGCACCCTCCTCTTTGTACTAGTCTGAAAAATTGCGTAGAATGTGGGGTTCTAACAGCAACGAGCTGCGTGCGCTTGCTGCAGGTGATTATAATGTAACAATGTAACATTTTTTTATTTGTACAATGTAGTTTATTTGTGTACATATTGTTGGAGCAGCTAAGAGGGGGAGGGGGGGGGGGGGGATATGAGGGGGGTTGTTGATGCTATTGTCAGTGCTGTAACAGAAATCCAGTACTTTCACCTCTAGCTGTTGTTGATTTCCTGCAAAAAATAAAGACAAAAAAATTTAAAAAAACGTGAGAAACTGAAAATGATGGATGGGGAAAAAAGACTAAAACTGAAAAGTAAAAATTCTAAATTGTTATTTTCTACAGTTGCATGTACAGAGAGCGCGAGAACTGCTGTTGTTCCTCAGAGATTATGTTCGTTAATAAAACTTTGAAATATTACCAGCTGTCCTCTGGTCATTGATCGTGTGATGTTGTGTGTGTCATGATGTAAAAGTTGTATTTTATGTTACAACACCCAAAATATATCCACTCAAGAACAAAATTGGCTTCATCTGAAAATATACCTTTGAAATATATTCATTTATATATTACATTTGAAATGTACCATGGATGTACAATACATATAGAGTAATAACATTTACCTCACTGTCATAATGTGGTGGTCCAAGAGAGAAGTTTCTATTAATAGCAGGATTAGGTAATCATGTCTTCAGTGTTTCACAATCAGAAGGTTTGAAATGCTGCCAGATCCGTTACAGATGTTGATCTTATGGCTTGGAGGAGTTTTGCACTCTACACAGAACGTCTCGCACCAAAATTTCACCAAACAAAGCCCAGATTCATGGACTATAGTAAATAGATGGTTTATTTAAACAACTCAATTTGTGTCCTTTATCTTTGCCATTCCATAAGTCATGCTCGTTGGAGTCCTTTCACCTAAACGATCATATTTTTTTACCAAACCTACTCATGGCATTTACTGTCACAAGGCAGAGAAACCTGCGTGTGCTGTAATTTACCACAGCTACGTAACTTGTTTCTTGACTTTAAGTATAATGAAATATGAGTTTTAATGTTTCATGTCAAAGCCAGAGGAAACCTGCTGAACTAGAAAAAGCGAACGCATTACTACAAAGTGTTTCTATGTCCGGAGGCCACCAGCTACAAATATGTTAAGTCCTTCATATCAATGACTGGATTTCCAGTCAAAATATTTCAATTTGCACTCCACACTTGTATGTTACTATTTAATGGCGCCGGTGATTTTAAAACCGGAGGTGTTGTGTTTGAAACTAGTGGCCATATATCACTTGACCCACACCCCCAAATGTCAGGAGACAGACGCGCAGGTATCTCATAGGTCGATCCCGCGATGGCCCCGCCCTCCTCCTCCCCCGTGCGCACCTGCCGCCGCTGCGTCGCGTGGCTCTCCGGCGTGCGCACTCACTGAGCCACAGCCACAGAACCATCTGTTACCGCAAACACACTCGTCTTCAAATGGATTATGAGACCAAGGTTTTCCCTCACACCGGCGGCTATGGACGCTACAACCGAGTCGTGGTGGTTTTCAGCTGGTTCCCCAACTTCGCGGTCATGCTGAATCTGTTCAGCGACGTTTTCTACACCGTGATCCCGGACTCCTTCCACTGCAAACCCGACCCGCGGCTCCTGCCCTCCGCGTTCCTCCCCAGCAACTTCTCCAGACAGGGGTACCTCAACCTCACCATCCCCTGGCTGAACGGCTCCGGTCTCAGCCACTGCGAACTGTTCAAGTACCCGCCAAATGCCTCCGACTTTTCCGGAAAGCTCTCCAGGCAGAGGGTGTCCTGCACCGTGGGGTGGGAGTACGGCCATGTAGCGGGGCTCCACAGCAACTTTGTGACTGAGGTAAGAAGTGGTCTGGAGCAGGAGGAGGAAAAAAGTAAATAAAAGTTAGTTTATCCACATGTTTTGGGGCTGAAGTAATGCTGAGTACCCACAGCATTGCATTAAAATGACGCTTTCCCGGATCCAATTCCACTCCGGGTTGTTGTTTTTCATCCACGTGTATTTACCTCACCACTAGAGTTGCTCACACATGTCGCGGTATTTCCAGAAATAAACATTTTTTTGGGGTCGTGTCACTTTTTACGACTAAGACATTTTCGTATGGCCTTGTAGGTGTTTGTGCTGATCTTTCAGTTTCCGCTCAGGTTGTCTCTGCTGTGAACAAGTGTGGTGATGAAGATGGCTGTTCAGTCAATATTTGCTCTCGCATATCTGCTGCCTGGCACTCTGTTTCCCAGGGTCACACTATAAGAAATCAACCAGGCAATGGACAAATTACTATTTCTTAGATTATATAAATAAATATCTGGAATTTAGGATTATAAACTGAAGTGTTGACTCAAAAAAAAAAAAAAAACAGGAAATTGTAGTGCGGTTTGCTTTCAACATCTCTTTTGACTTTTAGTTTGAGAGATTCCCAAGCTGAATTGAGATCCTCTTTGATTGTCTCTTCCATACTTTAGATATCACCATTGTTACAGATGATGGGATTCAGTGTGATCGTGTACTTGTTGTGTAACCACATGTGTGAATAAGCAGCAGACACATGTTTTATCTCCTCCTCGCTCTGTTTTCCTGGACGTCAGCTATTCAAGGATCCCTCCCAGTCTGCAAATATTGATAAAGAGTTCTTAGAAAAATATGTGTCAATGTGACCCCGTACGAACACCTCACGTCTGTCTCGGGGCAGTATTTTGTAACACATAAAGACAACATCAGAGTATTTGGCGTATAGTCTCCAAACCGCAGTAGTTGGAGTGAGGGCTGAGCAGCAGGACGGAGTCATTGTGGGTAATTTCCCCTCAGCTTCTCTTCAGAGTGTCGTCTGTGTAACATGGAAACGGATCCTGGCAGTGAGGAGACTTTTCCTCGTTGTCCTTCATGACATACTGTGGCGCTGGGAAGTCTGAGGCCTCCATGTTCCTTCCTGAGACCCTGAACGCCTCCTTCACCAACAGCAGCTTCCTCTGCACATGATGCCGTTTGCTGTGACAAAGGAACACTTTAGTAAAGGAGAAAGAAAAGTTGAATACAGAAACAATAGTGCTCATCAACTTCAAATACAGTGGCTGGAAAATAACATCAGAAGTACAATAATCTAGACCTCTGAGCGGTTTGTTTGTTGCCTTCATGTTGGTGAGGATCAGCTGGAGGCCACTCTTCCTCTTCGCTGAAGCCCTTTTCATCAGCTTGGCATATGTTGTTTTCCAATTCCTCCTTCTTTAAAGCCTTCAAAACCAACTTTTAAAAATGGTAGTTGTCAGACATTTTCTAAAGTTCACATATAGGTTAATTGGTGTCCTACGCAATGACTCACTTGTGTTGGTTTTTTTTTAAATATATTTATGATTAACTGCACAGGAGTCGCTGCCTGAACTTCTAGCAGGGGCGGACTGGCCAAAGGAAAGTCCGGGAAGACTAACCCGAAGTCGGGCCGATCCATTCCAGGCCCAACCGGCCGGTGGTCATAGAGTTTTCATTGTTCCGTCGCTGATGTCAGTAGTTGGGGTTTCTGGTGTTCACACGGTGTAAAATAACCGTGTTATGTGACGAGAAGAAATCCTAAAATCATAGTGACATTCCTAATGCAGGGAAATAGCATTAGCAGTGCTCACAAGTGGACCCTCACCACCTGACAGAATATTATCTGAATGAGCTCAACTCTTACGCCGCTGATTGACATTGGATGTCATTCTGATGTGAGTGCACCTTTCTGTTGTATTCTTGTGTTATTGTATTCTTAAAGCACATCATCCTAGTTGAGTATTGTTTAAAATCATTGATGGGCTACTATAGTGCTACAAACTAAAGCCTCAACGTTGACCATCATGTTGAAAGGATGGTCAAAGGTTTAGCATTACGAGTATTCGCATAGTAATATTCTCTGCAGAGATCTGCTGATATTATTCGGTGTTTGTTTTGATTCATTTTGATGCGCTGATCTCAAACTTTGTACATGCTTTGCCCTGCAACATCTGGACTGCACACAGAGTTCAGTCCGTAGTGGGAAAAGAGACTCGGGAGTGGAGGAGAATTTGCTTGAAGGCAGCGACTGGTACCAATCAGGCGTAGAGCTGCTGTCGGGCTCCACTTTGAGCACTACTAATGTGATTCCGCTGTCAGCAGACATCTTAACTCAATCAGGAACGACATGATCTACATTCCTGCTTCCTCACAGAACTCTCTCTGTGTTTGTGCTGAGTTACATTTATTGCAGCACGTTGGCGGCGTGTTGTTCATGTACCTTTTTAAGTCTTTGAATACGCAAATCATATTTTGGAGAGAAATTGAGCTAACCACATGTTAATCATTTATAACAAAGTTTATTTGGGAAGTGCTTTACATACACTGGTAATCACATGTGCCCTACTGTAACTACTACTAAACCTGTTTCTTTTTGTGAACAAATGACACAAAAATACATGAAACATTGAATTCATCGTTCTAGCAAGTCTTGCCTTGATGTGCATCACTTCTCAATGCAACAGGCCGCCACTGTAGTTACAAAAAGCTATTTTAAACACGTTATTGAGTGACACAAAGTGGCATGTTCCTTCATTGCAATGAACCTGGGCGCTTCGGTTTATTTTAGATCTCGCGTGCACCATCCTGCTGCCGCAAATACTCACCAGAGCATCAGTGTATTAATCCACAGCGGAAAATATTCCCCAACAAAAGCACTATTCACTTCTGTCTGAGTAACTTTGCTTATTACTCAGCCTTTTATAAGAATTAAACTACACGTATTGTGTCCTGTTTTTAAAGATGTAATGAGAATGTGTTGATGTTGGTCTTTGTGTTCCTTTGCAGTGGGACCTGGTTTGCAGTGACTTCTGGAAAATCCCTTTGCAGCACATCTGCTTCATGACTGGGTGGATTTTGGGATACATCCTTCTTGGTACATTGTGCGACTGGTAAGTAATAATCACATTTATATGGAATCTAAAGGGGTTCAATATTACTTTATGCCACATAATATAATACGTTTTTCATGGCTTTTTCACTACTAAGAACTTTGTGACTTTTTTATGACACACTATACTCTGTATTTTTATTTGACATACTTTCATTACAAACTATATTATGACATTTTTTGACAGATTATACCATTATGTTCTTAGACATGCTACACCGTGGCTTCTTTCGTCATGCTATATTAATATGTTTTACTTTATATTCTATATATTTTCAATCACTTTTTTACACGTTATACTATGACTTTTTTGAAAACGTACAGCGACTTATCAACTCGCTATACTATGTTTTTTTTAATGACTTCGTTGATCATGCTATAGTTCTACTTTTTAATGACTTTTTTAGACATACTATAAAAATACTCTTTAATGATGATTTCCAAGCTAACATTAAGAAATAAAAAGGACATTTCTATGCCATTTTGAAATAAAAATAAATATTGATAATATTTAAATATCTTTCTTAATTTATGCATACAACTTTTATTTTAGCACTAATTACATACTCACTTATTTGGAATTGAACACTTTGAAGCTCCCTTATTTCACTTGTGTGTGTGTTTTGCGCCTGAGAAATAAAGTGATGTGACACTAATGTGTGTTTTCAGGCTGGGTCGTCGGAGATGTTTCCTCCTCTCCATCAGTCTGTCCAGTCTGTTGGGAGTCGCCGTATGTTTATCCAACAGTGTGGTGTTATTTCTGCTGCTGCGTCTCTCTCAGGGCGCCATGCTCGCTGGGGTGTTCCTATCCTCCTATATAGCCAGTGAGTATCCTCCACGCACATCTACATGTTGGTAATCAACTTCTCCAGGGGATTGGGGGAAATATCAGCTTCCTCAGACACAGCCACTCACTTCTTTGTTCACTTTTGGATTCCCGGGCTTCGTTCTGAGTCGTTTGCTGGCACTGTGTTTATCCAAATGTCATGTTTTTGTTGAATCACATTTCACTCTTGTGATGTTTTACTGTTACAGTTCGTTTTAGTGCTTTACTCAATGAAAACATCTTAAAAACATTAAGATTCAACTGAATAAAAAGGCCCAACGCAGCTGGCTAACTGGTGAACTAGTTAAGAAAAGCCCCATTGTGCCCTTCCATAAGCCAATTAGAAATCCTTCCATCTTGGTGTTACCATCTAACTTTATTTCAGGAAACAAAAACAACTGAGATTAGACTTTCATTTCCGATGTCTGAAAGTCAAGAACAAGAACTAAAGGAAATAAGACGGTTTAATGTTAATTTAATGTATATGATGCAATTATTTAGCAGACGGGTAATGAATAGTTTAACTTTCTGGTGTTTCCAGGTGACAGGAGATGGAAGACTGTAACAGCATCTCGCTGTTCTCTCACCATAGAGATTCATATTTAACGCTTACCTTTTGTAATACTTCTTGTTTATTTGTCCACCAAGGATTAATGAGGTTTAGCTACAAAGTAAAGGTTTATATATTATTATTTTTTTCAACATGATATTTGGTGGCTGCATGGCCTCAGCATGTCTGGCTAAACCAAATGTAATCTTAAACAGTATATTATGTAAAGAGAGGCTGTAGATAAATGTAAACGTATAATCTCCTAATTTCTTTATGACCTGTAAGACGAAAGCTAAACGGACGTCTTTTGTCTGTTTAGCTTTCGTCTTTGAGTCTCTGATAACATAAAGAATAGTTGAATTACTTTCATCAGATCATATCAGTCAAGACAAATTGTAGTTTAATATATCCAACTTTTGTTGTTGTGTTAAAACTTAAAAACAAGGCCTATTCATGGTAGTTGAAAAGCAGATGTTTTCTACTCTTGAGGTTCCACTGGAAGGCCTTTGATAATTCACATTATTTCTCTCTTCTGCTTCACGGTTCCTAACTGCTCTGCAGTTATAATTTAAACTAAAATAATTTAGACTGGCTCCAGAACTTTTAATCCATACCCATGTCTCTGATTTGTTCAGCACTTAACAAAAATGACTATTGCGTCTGATTACCGGACTACGTAACTACGGCCTCTAAGGAGACTTTTTATTGCTTTGAATCCCTGGGCACATTGCAGCAGAATTAAATCATTTTCACGATCATACAAATTGTTGAACTACTGTCCGTGAATTCAGTGCACAAAGGAAACAAAGGAGCTACTAACAGCTGCAAAAAACTAGACTTTTACAATTAAAACAAATTGTGGATTGTGATAAAAGAACTTTGTGAACACCCAAGAAAACAACAATAACTATTAAGTCTGGGGGAAACGTTTTATGTGAAGTTTAAATACTTAAAATAAGATTACAGTCCTGGTTGATTTGGTGACAGCCGTGGTAACAGCCAGTGTGGTTTAAAACTACAGGGATCACTCCTTGAGCAGCTACATCAGAAGTACAACAGAGGAGCAACTGGTGTGTCTGTTTACAGAGCAGCCAAACAAACTCACACTGGTTTAATGCGTCAGTCAATAATCATGGCAAATAGGATCTGATTTTGGTGAGCACACCACAAGTAGTGTCTGGAACTGTCTAAAACAAGAGTGAAGCAACATCTAAATGTAATTACATTAACGTTTGGAGAACCTGTGCACATTCCTGCGTGGGAGGTGGTGGTACTAGGTAGTGGCCTCATCTGAAGCACACACACACACACACACATTCTTCTGCGAGGTCAGGGCTAGATTGAGTTCAGATTTTGTTTTTGTAGTTTATGCTGATGAGGGCCTGAGAGAAATGTTTCTCAGCGATGTGCTGCCAGTGCTGCTCCTCCACAGAGAGGAGAAAACAATAGCGGGACAGAACCAAAGGCAAGGAAGTGAGCAGGAAGTGAACTCCTCATTTTCCCTTTCTCTCGCCTCACAGGGAGGAATCAGAGGTCTGGGGAGGGAGGAGGTTAAAGTTCACCAGAGACTTAGAAACAAGTTTGCATCATTACTCGAAGTTAAAGAGTACTTTATCTCCTACTAGCTTTATGTAGCTTGTTGTTCTAGCGTTGTTTTCTTTCGGGTGGTATTCAGAATTTAGCTTTGCTATGAACTAGCAAACACGGTGCAAAGAGTTTGTGGCAAACAGAAAGTTAGATTCCATGTTTAGTTTTATTTAGTTTATTAAGATCCCCATTAGCTGCTGTAACAACAGGAGCTACTCTTACTTGGGTCCACATTATGTATGTACAATACTTCAATGACAGTATTGTAGTATCTAGTAAAACTGATAGCTCTACATCATTTCAAATAAATAAAGTGAGATAGCTTTTTAGGATCTTCAGGAGAAGAAAAAACAAAAGACAGGAACTTGTTTAGCTACTCTATTCCTTGACAGAATAAATACATTCAAACATGTTTTACTACTTTCTGTGGTAAGGAGTTCCATGCCACGACAACGTACTGTTCTCTGTATTGAACCAGTTTTACATAAAGTAGCTTTATGTGAGAAGAGGTTTGTGTCCCGACAGGAAACTAACTGCTTTTGGTCAGATGTATTTGTTTAGCTTCAGCTGTGTTTTGATGTTATCCGTCTTTTTTCTCTCTCTCTCTCTCTCTCTCTCTCTCTCTCTCTCTCTCTCTCTCTGTTCCCATCGCTCACTCAGGGTTGGAGCTTTGTGATCCTCCCCATCGTCTCATGGTTGCCATGATCAGCGGCTTCTTTGCCATTTTCGCAGAGCTGCTGTTGCCGGGCCTCGCCGTTCTGTGCCGCGACTGGCCCGTTCTCCAGGCCGCGGCCACTGTGCCTCTGCTCCTGCTGCTCGCCTACTGGTGGTGAGTCCGGTTTCACTATTTGGGATGCGTAGGTGGACACACCATGTGTGTATTCAGGGAAGTTTATTATTCTATAGTGGTGCTCAGTGTACCAGTCTCACAATTGATTTTTGGCCTGTCTGCAGTTTGGAATTCACAATTAACCACGTCTTTAAATATATACGATCCTACTTGGAACATTGTGTTGACCACCACTCAGTTAGTTTAGTTTAGGTATTTATTCAGGAAGTCAGGAAGTTGCTTTTACAGAAGAGACCTGACAACAAACATCATAACAAGACAGTTCAGTCACTCAAAGCAGAGTCGACTAAGGATGTTAAATATCTCAGCAACTTGGATAGCATGGTATGCTGATGCCTTGTACGTGTCGGTGATGTCAAACAATGTTGCAATGACAACTTCTTCTTTGTTGCCAAAAACAGTACCGGGGGGGAAAAAATGTTCAACTGTTTGTGTCAATGTTGTACGTCTGTACGATAACAGAGTTGTTTTCCTCAGCTGTGCGTCAGTGTTTCCTGAGTCTCCTCGCTGGCTGCTGGCCACAGCTCAGATCCACCAGGTGAAGAGGAGCCTCCAGGAATTCTCCACCAGGAATGGTGTTTGTCTGCTCGATGAAATCTACCCTGGTGAAACCCTGCTGTCAGGTACACACACACACACACAAAAGCATGTGAATGAACACAGACACAAACTGGTCTGAAAGTTTTTCTTTCATGAGAAAAGTTTAAAACAAGTCATGTATTAAACCATTAAAATATTGGGAAAACATGCATCATTATCTTGAAATAACATTACCTAGAGTCATTACCTATGTCTCTTTTCATTCATGTCTCTGCACAGTAAACGGGCTAAACATTTCCTGTACTACCCGAGTACAGGAAATGTTTAGTCTGTTTTAGTCACAAAAGACTCATAACGACTCAAAGCAATACCTGTTTTTCTTTCCTCATAATGTCTAAACTCCGTCCATCTTGTTCTTCACACTCTCTTTAGGCACAATAAATCTTGCCAACCTAAATATTGTTGATATCCTTGCTGTCATCAGGGTTCTTTTTCGTAGGTATTCCCACACGAATGCAAATTAAGGCTGAAAATAACAATTATTTTCTGCAAACAATTATTTTATATTTACGCATGTCTTCGGCTGTTATGTTTTGTCCAACAGTCCAGAACCCAAAGTCATCCAGCTGACATAAAACACAAAGGCAGAACATCCTCATAACAGAACGGCTAGAACCAATATTTTTAAGGCATTTGTGCTAGAAAAATGACAAACGATGAATCAAAATCAAGTTTGCCCAACATTGTTTGCTCCAGGCTGTACCGGGTATAACCTCTAAACTTGACTGATCATGGTTTACCACATGGCATGTTCAGTACTTCATCAAATCCATCTGTTGTGGAGATTATAAGTGTTTGCTTATCTGATTGACTTGGATGCAGACGTAATATACTAATATAGTAATATATAAATTACATTATTGCATAAACATTCTGCTGAATGCATGTTTCTTTCAAGTGTAAGAGCGAGGAATCGGTCCTCATGAAGTCTGTATTGTACAGTGATGCAAGATGTTGAATAGGATAAAAGAGGATAAGTGGGGACTGTTTGGACTGACGACAATGTAAACCGCAGCTTGACTGGTTGGCGGAGGCTTACAACTGTAAGGTGGTGGTTCTAGTTTAATCCATATTTTGATTCAATGTCATTTAGCATAGAACAATTGCAGCCACGAGTAAAATGTAAAACAAATGGATTTTTACCACTCCTTTAAACCGTCCTGAATTACACCCAGGCTCCATGTGGATATGTTTAATTATTCTCAGGTTTTTTTCGCCTCTTCTTCGGCTTCTAGAGATAGATTCAGCATACGGAGAAGACTGTCGGCCAGCCTACTTTTCCGTTCTGGAGCTGCGTCGGACTCGTGTTATCTGGAAGAACTGCCTCATCCTGAGCTTCACGCTGTGAGTTTGTATGCTCAGTGTGAAAAAGTAAAGTTCACCTGACTTGTCCATGAGATGCAGGCCTTCCATTTCATGATAAAAGTGACATGCGTGTGTGTGTTGAATGTTGGGCTTCATAGTGAATGTTCTCTTCCTCTTATCTCTCCTTCAGCTTCATTGGAACAGGGATCCAGTACTGTTTCACCAGAAACCTGCACGCTTATTCCTCCAACTTCTACTTTGTCTACTTCCTCCGAGTGATAACCGGAGCTCTGGCCTGCATCTTCATCTGCTTGTCTGTCGATCACTTCGGTCGGCGTGGTATGCTTCTGCTCTCTGCCATCATCACTGGACTGTCGTCGCTGCTGCTGCTGGCCCTCACTCAGTGTAAATGACATCCTCATCTCTTGTTTGCATTAACTTCATTTTACTTTAAATAACAGCTGGATACCAGGCCAGAAAATGTTTATTATCTCAGCTGTAAATTGTGCTACAGTCATAATTGTTGCACATGAGTCTGTTTTCTTTTTTTTATGTGTCAGATCTGCACGGAGGCCTGGTGCTGGTGCTCTCCGTCGTGGGTTTGCTGTTCTCTCAAGCTCTCGCCATGCTCAGTGCGTTCTTTGCCTGTGAGGTGATGCCGACCGTGGTTCGGTAAGCGTCTGTGTGACAAAAGTGATGAGGCTGTTGATATATTTTTCTTACAGTCAACAAATCCCATGAAAAGACCAAAATGAACGATGAATTAATCCCACTGAGAAGTATGGCCTGTGTTGCTGAAGCCTGATGGCTTGTTTTGAATGTGTATTAGTCGCGTTCAAATGCGCAATTACTTCTGTTTGAGTACCATGTGCTAAAAACTACAGTGCCCAGAACAGTTGTAGGAACACTAAGGCTTGGGTTTAAGTCCTACAGACGGGGTAGGAAAGTTGGCAAGTATAGAGATACAGAAAAATGTCAACACAAGATATAAAGTAATGTCTGATTATTCTGCCTTGTTGATTTCTGTTCTCTTCCCTCGCTCTGCCAGAGGTGGTTGCCTTGGCCTGGTGCTGGCAGCCGGTTGTGTTGGCATGGCCGCCTCCTCCTTGATGGAGCTCCAGAATAACAGTGGCTACTTTCTCCACCATGTTGTCTTCGCCTCCTTCGCTGTCCTCTCTGTTCTCTGCATAATGCTCCTGCCTGAAAGCAAACGCAAGCCGCTCCCAGACTCCCTGAAGGAAGGCGAGAGTCAACGCCGGCCTTCTCTCTTCCTGTCCCGGCCTGACAGGGACAACCTGCCGTTACTCTGCGCCCGCCCACCTTTATCAGAGTACAACCCCGATAACTATTCCCGTTTGGTCTCTGCTACCAGGAGGATGTTGACGAAAGACAATTTGCCTTATAGGATTGCTGTACCAACTCATTCCCCTCTTCTGTCATGCAGTGAAACACAGGGACAAGAGAATGAGGTCATATCTTAACTCTGCTGACGGAGCCTCCTCATCCTCCTCCTCCTCTGTACAGACTTGGATTATCCGTCCTCCTTCATACCTCTACAGACAGTTTCCCATCGTCCTTCATTTAATTATTTACTAAGTCATTGGTTGGTCATAACTCAACTGAAGAACTGACCTGGGCTCAGATGGAGTGCGCTTCAGAGCGATGCCTCCAAGTTTGTCAATTTTCAGTCTCCTCTTGTTGCATTTTACACTTGAAGCACATTGCTGTGCTGTGTTATTTTCTCCCTTCATTATGCGCTGAAAAGCAGTGGCCTTTAGCTAAAGAGTTTTGTCGTCCAAACCTCAGGTGAGGGTTGAACTGTAACATTGCATGTTATGCGTGTTCTTATGTGGTGAATTCCCTTAAATATGCTCTCACTCTTTGGCCAATGCAGTGGAGGTCACACTGCTGGTGTGTGTAGGGGCATTCACACTGAATAGTCACACTAGTTTCACCAGAGAAGCTCGCTCAATCGTGCGGATGCTGGAGATCATGTGAGCTGCAGTCCTTTGTCCACTTATTAGCTGCTCATGCACTTTCCATTGGGTCTGTCCGTCTGATTCACCAGCAGTGAGTCAGTGCTGAGAGGATCCCGAGGACACACTAAACTAGTCCACACTGTCTTTGTGGAGTCTTGTTATACTTGTGAAGCACACAAGAGGGCGCTTAATGATGCACTGGTCATTGAATATGACGACTGAGTCAAAGGAAGCTATTTCACTGAGAAGAATTTGGAAAATAACACCAGATATCAGCCAGTGAATTCTGTTTATTCTGTAGACCACTGTGTTACAAACTGATTTAAAGGTGCTATTTTTGCATTACGTGTCTGTTGAAACACTTAAAGTAGCCAATACATTGGCAATGTACTAACCACTGTAACCCCCTCTGTCTTGTAATGATTAAGTTGTGTCCTTTTGTTATATATAAAAGATAAGTATTAAGAAAAGTGTGGTTGAAAAGCTTTAAAATTCAGCAGTACCAACTTAACTGAAGGACATTAGATATTTTCACAATAACGGCCTAATACAACCGTAGGTGTTTTTTCTGTATTTGATGTATCGTGTTTGTGACGACATTCTGCCTGTTGATGCCATAGCATCTTGTGAAGAGAAACTAGTTCTTTCTAGAGTAGTTTGTTACTGAGGGGATGATGAAAATGTCACGGTTGCCTTAAATAATAGGAGAAAAACACACCACTGGTTCGGCCTATAGAAGATTTGGTGTAATAGTTCGCTAAATGTGCTAAAGATGCTTTTGTATCGACTGAAACTCGTCCAGTTGGTCAGAGAAAATCATGTATTGTTCTTTTCATATCCTCTTAATACTCAATGTCCTTAACAAGTGAAAAACCTTAGTGACGAAGAACTGTTGCCTTGTTTGTATCCTAACCTTCAGGTCAGATGTTCCTACCAGCCTAAAGCGTAAATTACATTCAAAACATGCAAATCACCAAAACTTTGGGTTGAGATGTTTTGTCTCCTTAGTTGTTACCCTCTCAGACCACTAGATGGAGCTATGCACTGTACTACCTCATGTGGAAATGTCAGCCTACAGATGTTGAGGAATAATAGTGTGTGTGTGTGTGTGTGTGTGTGTGTGTGTGTGTGTGTGTGTGTG